TGAATGGCGACAGTACCTGTTTCATTTTTGGCGGTGGTATCCAGCAGGTCAGCGGTACGAGCAGTGGCTGCGCGTTGTACATGTCAACCCACGACATCGCCTGTTCAACCATTGCATTCAAAAAATGACTATTTTCTGCTGCAATTTCTCTGCGTTTCACTTCTCATTCGTACAATATTAATTTAGTCCTACAAACTCGAACTTGTTAACCTTTTTTTCTTTCAATCATAAAACAGAGGAAGGGGAAACACTTTTCTGGGACTTGAATATTGTCAACTTCTAAAATCTGCAAACTGCGCAGTTGAGGACTGGCTATTTCAAGCATTGTATAAGCCACAAGCAGAGGACTGCTTGAGCTTCTAACATGGTAGAAGTGTCAAGACCAATAGACCGTCCAAACGAAGCAACCAATCGTAAACGGAAAGCTTACCCATCTATAATCTTGCACCGAGAGCTACAATATCGAAAAAGGTACCGCCACACAATGCACCGGTTCGTTCAAACTAATGAAAATTCACGACAGTTGATCATAAGATAGAAACACCTCGAGTGTAACGTAATCGGCCAATTAGTTCAGCTGCCAGCTGGTCACGGTCCCGGACAATGGTATTCAGTGAAGGCAATAAGACTTGTTCACACAAAACCTGAAAGACTGAGCTGTGTCGACCACTTACTTTGAGTACTACTAAGGTAAGTAGCAAACAGACTTTAGCGAAACATTTGTGAAACAATGGTGATATAGTATGCGCCGTTCACGATATAGTCGAAGTCCACTGAAAGAAACGCTTTCCCACTTCCCGTTATTTCATTAAAATAATGGGTCGTGCCCGATTTTGTCGTCATTTGTTTTTATTTCAATTTGGCACCCGATAATCGCAAGTAAGATTTTGCTTTCTAGTAGTTTTTGAACTCTTCTAGTTCAATTATCGCCACGGTGGACAAACTTTTGTTATCTTCTGAATAAATTTTGCACTACTTTACGGACTCCTTAAAGTATACTTATTTAGCGCCCTGGAATTAATTTGCAGTCTTAGTGTGATTTAATATCTTACTTAGTGCGCATGCCTCACTTTCTCAAAAGTTAAAATAATTACTTGTATGTCATGGTGCAGTACTTGCATGCAGCATTCTTCATAAATACTCAACAGTTGAAAGAGACCGCAAGCACGGGCACACGCATCAACGTACTCAAACTGACACAGTGCAAATTCCTTGACAGCATCCATGTTACCTGCAATTGCTTATAATTCAGAAAGAGGACAGGAAGTGGCAGTGTTCTAAAAAGTAGATGTGCCACTTTTTGTGCTGAACTTGCTATCAAAGTTCAGTACATTCGTAGGTTAATAAAACAACTAATGAAAAACTTTTGGACAATTTG